CGCCCGCACCAGGACAGTGAGAGGTCAAGGTGGAGAACCTGCCTGGAAGCAAGTGAAGTGGCGCGTCACGAGGGACCGAAGTACCGGCGAGGTCCTCGACGACACTGCCATCCTGCACGGGGAAGAGACCAGCGACCTGAAGTGGATCTACGAGTTCCCGGACGGCAAGGGCATCAGGGACATAGTGACGGAGTTCTGGTTCGAGCCGTCGGAACCGAAGACCAGGGACATTAAGAACGGGGAGTGGAAGCGCATCATGGGGGACGTGGTGCGCCACATCCCGGAGCAGATCCTGTTCACGAGCGACGGCAAGGTGGTGAGCAACTTCGAGGAGTGCAACGCGGCCGACGACCTGGCCGAAATTTTCTCACCGCCCAGAATACTGGACTGCGAGAACCAGGGCGGCATCACTGGGGACCTGGCTCTGGACCTGAAGACGGGCTGGGACTGCCGGAAGAAGGAGGACCGCATGTGGGCGATGGCAGAGATCAAGAGGCGGAAGCCTAAGGTGGTAGGACTTACCCCCCCATGCCGAATGTTCTGCGCGCTGCAGAACCTGAGTCAGAACAAGCGGACCGACGACTGGGAAAAGGACTACCGGGAGGCCCTGCTCTTCCTGCGATTCGCGATCCGGATCGCGAAGATGCAGCTGGACGCTGGCCGGCACTTCTACCTGGAGCACCCCTGGATCCGGAGGATCATCCTGGACCAGTGCGCGTACGGCCAGACGGACCCGAGCGGGCAGGGCCTGATCAAGAAGCCGACTGCGATCCTCACCACGCTGGACCACACTGAGGAGCTTGAGAAGAGGTGCGAGAAGGACCACGAACACACCATCGTGTTCGGCAGCCAGCGCGACGCGGACGGGAAGCTGCAGAAGATCTCGAGGTGGTCGCAGGTGTACCCGCCGAGGCTGGTCAAGGCGATCCGCAAGGTAATCAGCAAGAATATCGGCCGCCCGATCAAGGAGATGAACATGGTAATGACACTGTACGACTCAGGGGCCACCGGCCAAGGAGGCGAGACCTGGGAGACGATCGCGAAGCGAGTGCACGCCAACCTGGGACACGCGGACCTGCGAAGGACCACCTTCGTTCTGAAGATGGCCAAGGCCAAGCCGGAGCTACTGGACGCGATGAAGAAGGTGATCGAGAAGTGCGATGTCTGCGACGCGACGAAGCACCCCAAGTCGACGCCGCCGGCGAGGCTGCCCACGCCGGAGAGCTTCGAGTTCAACGAGGTGATCGGCATGGACCTGCTGTTCGTGGACACCACTTGGGACAGCGAGGACAAGCCCAAGAACGAGACCACCCCGTGCCTCAACATCGTCGACTGGGGAACGGGCAAGCAGATGGTCATCAGGCTCCCGGACCGAGAGAGCACGACGATCAGGCAGGCATACCGGAAGCATTGGATGCGGCCATACGGGAGACCAAAGCGCCTCATCAGCGACCAGGAGAGGGGCATCATCCGCGGGATCTTCGCGGATAGGGCTAGCGCCGAGGGCACGGAGCTGGACCCGGTCGGAGCCGAGAGCGAGTATCAGAACGGCAAGACCGAGACGGCGGGCCAACTCTGGAAGGACGTACTACCGCATCAGGCTGACCGAGGCGATCTTGAGCGCCGACGATCAGGAGGAGCTGTTCGACGCGGTCAACTGCGCGGTGAACGAGAGAGGTGCGGATCTACGAGTGTTTGGTCGAAAAGTTCGATTGCCGGAGGGCACGCACGACGACGATGATGACGTGAGCCTGGAGACGGTGTCACGCCACGCTGCAGGGGACCGAGCCCTCGCGAGGTCGATCGGGTTGCGACTGGCAGCCCGAGAGGCGTATGCCCAGGAGTCGGTGCTGGACCGCCTGGACAGGGCTAAGAACAGGAGGAGCACGCCCTTTCGAGGCGACTGGAAGCCGGGCGACAAGGTGTACTACTGGAGGCAGCAGGGGCCCAAGCGAGAGGCCTGGGAGCACTGGAGAGGACCGGCCACCGTCATCAGCACGAACATCCCCGGGAAGGCCTACGTGTCCTACCAAGGTGGCGTCATCCTGTGCAGCTGGAAGCAGCTGAGGGCCGCCACGACGGCAGAAGTTCAAGCGAATCGATATGTGACGGAGACCGGCGGGGTGCGCAAGCCTGTCGGATCCCAGGGTAAGCGAGCTGTGGAGGACATCTCGGACCAGCTGGACCCACCGGGACCCGAGGCGGAGGACCAGGCGGAGAGCGAGACGAAGAACGAGCAGCCGAGGGGTGAAATGGCGCCACCCATCCCGGTGCCAGAGGTGTTCGGACCTGACGGCGAGGGCGCGGCCGAGCAGCAGGAGGACGTCCCGATGATTGGGAGGCCGTCGACCGAAGAGGCCCCGAGGAGGCGCTACTCCTCCAAGAGGAGCGCCCGTGAGAGCCACGCACCGGCACTGGTGCCGGAAGGACCTGGGTCGCCGAAGAAACAGGTGGACGAGACACCAGAGATGCCCATGACCGACGACGCAACGGGTACAGTAGAGGCGGCGTTCCTCTCCGTCAAGCAGGCGGCGAAGCGGAAGGAGGTATACCTCAAGAACCTCACGGAGGACGAGAAGGAGGAGTTCATGGAGGCAAAGGGCACGGAGTGGAACAACATCAAGGGCGCGAAGGCCGTGCGCATTGTGCCGCCGTCCGGGGCGAACGAGATCAGGAAGACGCACGGGGACAGGATCATGCCTAGCCGACACTGCTACACGTGGAAGCAGAAGGACGGCCACCGGCAGGCGAAGTGCCGCTGGGTCGGACGTGGAGACAAGGACCCAGACCTTGCCGAGCTGGAGACCTATTCGCCCATGGTATCGAAGGAAGCCTGGATGATGAGCATGCAGCTGAATGTGTCCATGGGCTTCGACATTGAGCTGGGAGACATCAGCTCGGCCTTCATGAACGGGTACCGGTATCAGCGGAAGCAGGGCCCGCTCTACTGTGAGCTACCCGCTGACGGAGTTCCTGGAGCCGAGCCGGGTTCGCTGCTAGAGGTGCTGGTCTGCGTCTACGGACTCGGGGACGCGCCACTGCAGTGGTACAAGAGCTTCACCACCGAGGCTCTGGCCGCGGGATTCAAGATCAGCTCGTATGATCCCTGCCTGCTCTACCTGCACCAGGACGGCAAGTACCGAGGGTCCATCGCACCGGCCGTGGACGATACGTGCGGCGGAGGCGACGAGTACTTTCAGAGGGCAATGGAGAAGATCAAGCGGAGGTTTCCTTTCGAGGGTAAGGGAGACTTCCTGGGCAAGCAGCTGGAGCAGCTACCCGACAAGTCGGTCAAGATCAACCAGCAGAACATGGTCGACGAGATCGAGATGATCAACATCACAGCCGGGCGCCGCGCGACGCCCAACGAGCCGTGCAACGATCAGGAGATATCCGCGTTGAGAGCCGTGGCAGGATCCCTCAACTACGTGGGACGCGAGACACGCCCCGACTTGAGCGGGCCAGTCTCGCTGCTACAGGGCACTTTCCCGAAGCCGAAGGTGTCCGACCTGCTGGAGGGGAACCGGGTGGCCAGGATCGCCAAGGATTTCTCCCACACGACGCTCTGGATCAGGCCGATCAGTCTCAAGGACCTGGGCTTCTTTGCTTTGCGGTGGCGGACGCGGCCTGGGCGAAAGCAAATGGCCAGGCGAGCCAGGCGGGCTGGCTACTCCTCGCTGGCGACGTGAGCATCTGCAAGGGGATGTGGGGTAAGATATCCCCAATGGCATGGAGATCCCACCGGCTCGCTCGGAAGGTGCCGAGCTCGCTGGCCGCCGAGACGCTGGGAGTGGACGAAGGGCTGGCGAACGGAATCTACCTACGCAGCCTGTTCGCTCAGTTGGCTTTCCCTGGCCTGAACGCCCGGACGGCGCCCGAGGCCGGCAGGACGTTCCCGCTGACCGTGGTCACGGACAGCAAATGCCTGTACGACCACCTGCACAACATCTCCGGCGGCCCGAGCAAGGACCGGAGGACCGCTCTGGACATCGCGATACTAAAGGAGAGCATGCAGGGTAGCGGTGCCAGCATCCGCTGGGTGGATGGCAAACGGCATCAGATCACCGACTCTCTGACGAAGCGCAACGGGTGTGCCGACTTACTGCGGGGGATCTTGCAGAGGGGTGAGTACGTTATCGTGGAGGAGGATCAGGCGCTCAAGATCCGGGAGGCTGAGAGAGCTTCGAGGGTGACGAGGAGAGGAGCGTTCGGGAGGCCTACGACGAGGACGACGCCCTCTACTGAACCGAGGCGCACGAGCTCACCTGTATTCTGCAGCGCTGCGCGCTCCATGGTAGATGTACGCGCTACGCGCGAGAATTGGATTTTAAACCCTGGTCGAACCGTGTCGAGTTGCGAGGGGAGGCTGCCTACAGGTGTCTTGGCATCCAGAATTCTGGGGCGTGCGAGTTGACCCAGAGTCCCTCTAGAGGCCTTCTGAGGATGCCAGACACTCAGCCCCTTTCCGCAATCCTTTTGGTTCGGTCAAGGGCTTCGGCCCCTTGGAGGCAGACACATGTTAGCCTGAGCTGATACTGAAAACGGAGGCATACGAGAGCTCACGCTTACGTTTCCGCCGCTCCACCGTGTTCGGTTATGCCACTTTTTGCTCCCCTATTGTTCCTTCCGCGCCTCGGCTGTATCCCCCTCCTGCCCGTTGCCCAGGGCTCGACCTAACCAGTGTCTCTCGCCTTCGCTTTGTGCTCGCCCTCCCTCGCCCTGTCTCTCACTCGCCTCACGTGCTGCAAGACGACACCGAAACGGAAGGCGGCCCACGACATCGCCAAAACACCGTTTGGGTTTATGTTGCTCCCATCGTGCTTGAGGACCACGTCCCAGAAATAACTTCGAGCCCCCGGAAAGGTGTCGAAGAAGTGTCAAAGCAGTGCCGGACGCGTGTCGCCCAGGGCCCGACGCGTGAAAAAAGCCTTCGAGTTTGGGGGGCAATCCTCTGGCGCTCGAAATCATGCCTGGTGGTCAAGGCTGGAGCGGGTTGGAGCATCAGAAATTTAGGTCCCCTCCTGCCGCTGCCCCCGAGAACAGGCGAGAGGGGCCGCCGCCCCCGCAGGCCGCGGCGCGGGGGGGCCGGCGCGCCGATCCCAGGGGCCCGAAGCTGCGCCCGCGGTCACCACTTCTTCCGGACCACCTGCGGCGCAGGTCCCGCCCCGCCGGGGGCTCTGCTCCGTGGCGCCCTCCCCCACTCCCCCGTCCCTCCTCCTGCGCCTCCTGCTCCTCGTGCCGATGCTGCTGCTGCTGCTCCCTCCCTCCTCCTCCTCCTCCTCCTCCTCCTCCTCCTCCTCCTCCTCCGCCCTCCTCCTCCTCCTTCCTCTCCGCCCTCCTCCTCCTCCTCCTTCTACTCCCCCGACTTCAACTTTAATTTTTTCTCCTCTTCCTTCCCATCCTCCTTCTCCCTCTCCTCCTCCCTCTCGTCCATCCTCCTCCTCCTCCTCCCCCTTCTCCTCCTCGTCCTCCTCGTTGTCCTCGTCCTTCTTGTCCTCCTTGTCGTCCTCCTCCTCCTCCTCCTCCTCCTCCTCCTCCTCCTCTTCCTCCTCCTTCATTCCTCTTCATTATGAATAACTCCTCTCCGTCTCACCCCGAGGCCAGTTGAAAGGGCGGGCCTGGCGTTTCGCCAGAAACGTCCTTACCACTTATGAGCCTTAAGCCTAAACGCTGTCAAAGGCTTCAAAGATAAATGGCGGGTCGCTTCCAATACGCGGTTTTCGCTTTAGCGCCGCGCGCACTCGTCTTAAACATTTGCAAGAGCTTCGCAGATTGAGGGCGGTTCCTTTTCACACTGCGGTTCTCGCCTGAGCGCGCACATTCGTTCCAACAAATTGTAAAATCTTGAGGGTTTGAGGGAACGTCGTTTTCAAAATGTGGCTCTCGCCTTAACGCCACGCGCAATCACCTTTAAAACTTGCAGAAGTTTTGCGAGTCGAGGGCGGCTCGTTTTCAAAATGTGGTTATCGCCTCAACGCCGCGCACATTTGTTCAACGCATTCGCAAGAGTTTTTTTTTGGTCGCCGTTTCGTCTCCGCTCCAATGCGTCACTAGCCACGGGGCCTCAACCGCCACCCCCACAGCTCCGGAACCGGGCACTGCGAGGGCTTGGGTTTTGGCCGCACTGTGTCCGCGGGCCACGATCAGATGATGAATGCCGTGCCACCACCCCAGTGGCACAGCGGCCAAAGCCGAAGGCCAGCGTTCAGAGACGACGCTGCCCCTGAATTTCATTGCACAGTGGCGTCGGCCCTCTGCCGACGCCGCTTGCACACACTGTGTGCGCAAGCCCCGAGGGGTGTAAACAATATGACATATTGCTTACTCAGGCCCTCTGAGACAGAGCTGTTTCGGCTCCCAAAGACACACCTGCAGGGGCTAGCCACCCAGGCCCTGCACGGAGGTCAACCCACGCCTCGGCAACAGCCACATGCCTCCGAGTCAAAAAACGGAGGCGAGCATCAAAGTTTTGCTGGGCCGTGCCAGGCAGGCTCAGCCTCACACAGTGGTGAGCATGCAAGAAAGCGTCCCACATGCAGGCACACAGCAGCGACACATTCGGGGGAAGAGGATAGAGCTGAATCAGCGTGGCAATCCATGGAATCATCACAAGGGCAATTCGAAACGCAGTGCCCATCCATGGGACACATAACACATAACTCGCGGAAGCGATGGCAGAATGTATAATGACGTAGATCATCATAGTCCCGAGACATATCAAACCCATATTCCCGATGAGTACACCCAAAGACACAGCCACGAGGATGAGAGCGGAGGCGAGCAGTCGCACACACACCACGCGTGCAGATACGAAGAACACACATAGCAAGGCAAGGGGAAGTCGCCGCTGCGTCACGTCGGTTCTGAAGGACAAGATGGGAGAGATTACTGCAACCCACTTCAGGCAGCCACTTTCTCAGTCGATACTGAAGGCCTTCAACGGCCGCAGGTCCAGGGAGAGGAAGGGCGCGGAGATGGGCGTAGAGCTTCCGTCGGAGAGCGTCAGGGGGGAGATCGAAGAGCTGCACAATATACTGAACACTCTGCACCACCTCGAACATCTTTGGTAAAAACGACCTGCGATGCTATCCCCGTGGGTCGACAACTCTGGCATGACATTTCGCGCTGCTCTCAGTGAGCTGCTGCAGCTCGCCCCAGCACTCGCGACTGCCGGGGCACTTCGCAGCGAGACGGGTGCGGCAGGCACGCGAGAGAGCAACGACATCTGGGGACTCGATACTGAACCCGAGCTTCTGGAGCGATACAAGCATGTAATACGAGAACGCATTGTACGGGCCATTCGCAAGGCATTGTAACATGTGCTTGTACATATGCATGACCCGTTTCGTGACTGGTTCAACTTGGAGGACAAACTAGAGCACAGAGAGGCACATTACCAAAAAGGTAGAGACTGCCATCGCATATCCAGGGGCGAGCTGACGGAGCATCGCGCAACTTGCAACAATTTTCGACAGCGGGGCACTCCATGCCAGACCAGCGGCGCTTGGGCCAATATACAGCCCAAAAGTACTTGATAGCAGAACTTACTCCCACCAACTCCATACCCCTCGCCTCCTTGGACATCATGTCACTGACCTCCTCCTTCCTAACCCCCCCGCATATCAGAACAGTGCACTTGCGAAAGTTGAGCGCCAGCCCAATCGCTGACCCGAGAACGAGAAGCATGCGCCACGCGGCAGTAGTCGAGCGAAAGACATCCACCATTCCAAAAAAACAGTCGTCAGCCAATGCAAGGCACAGAGCAACATGGGCGGGGGGGGGTCTGTTGTATCCATCGCAATACCGGATCAATGCATAGGCAGAGGAGGGCCATAGAGCTAGGGTCGCCCTAACGCACCCCCCTCTGGATAGGAAAGCTTCCGAATTCCTGCCCACCAAGAGTTACCGCGCCCTGGCTGTTCTTATAGAGCATGATGCAGAAGTCAGTGATGAAGGAGGGGGCATTCATAGCATTGAGCACGGCAAACATCCAAACATGCAGAAGCGACGGGAAAGCAGCGGAGAAATCAGTCGAGGGGATGGCAACCGAGTCGTGTGCGAGCAACTCTTGTTGCAGCCCCCAACTCTCTGCCTGCGCTACATTCGCGAGCATTGGTCTACCTTTAACGCACTTCTGGAGGGGCGCAACAGTCACTTTAGAGAGCTCATTCAATGGGTGGCAGAACACTGCAGAGAGGATCTTCGCATCGGTGTTGGACATGGAGAGCGGGCGCGCGCATGCTGCACCCCGAATAATGCCCCCTGCCCCGCCCCCCTCCTGCTCACCCCTAGGTGGGGGAGCCATCAGTAGTTCCCCCCATATCGCCAGGCAGCTCTGAAACATTTCCACTGGTAATCTCAAGCTAAAAATTGTAAAGGTATCTCGGCGCATCTCGAATTCGCCAGCACGCATGTGGAATGCCGTCTGTCCCAGGCATCGAGGTGCGGCAGTGTCGTACACGTTCAAAAACGTACCATTTTCAACCTTCCAGGAAACCTCGAGGCCCTCGGGAACCATCTGAACATGTCTCAGAATTGCCGCCCACCTGGAACGACCTTCCGTAGCTGGCGAGAAAAAAAACTTCCCCTAGATTCAGCAAGCACGTTGGCCGACTGCCCAAGTGTAGTACACGGGCTTCCGTTAGCGTCTAGTACGGCAGTGAGACAGGTTCGCCTTCTGAATTGCATCCAAAGCTCCATCTTCCTCCGTGGTTTGGCTAGTGCGGCTTTGTTGGCATCATCGTGCATGCTGTTATCGTTATCAATCCCCCCCCCTTCCCCAGTTAAAATCTTAACATAAAACTCATGCGTCAATTCACATAGACCATGGCGGTCGTGACAGAACAGGGTCTTGCAGTCAAAGAACCTCTGAAGCTCGGGATAGCAGCTGACAGCCTCGCACACCATGTGGCCCTGCTGCGCGCGCATCCCCCTCAGGGCTACCATGCACCAGTGATGCGTCAAAATAAAAGCCGAGGCAACTTGATTGGAAAGGAGATGCCGCGCGCGCCTGACCACTGAGCACACGATAGCCTTAACAGCCTTCAGAGCATCAGCAGCATTTAGCGAATGAAACTCCTCGGCTTCGTTGTTAAGCTCCGTGTCAAGTAGTTCTTGATAGACTTCGTTCTTGCTAATCTCGCTGGGGGGCCCGCTATTCAGGCCAGCGGGGGGCTTGAAAGTGCCGATTACGACCAGCACTGGGATATGATCAGAGACACGGGCCTAGCAGAGCTTACCCATGACTGAAGCGCGAATAGCAAGGTCAGCAGCGACCGCCGCTGGGATGCTGGAGTAGATGCGGTCTAAACGCGCAGCGTGGGCAATGTTCCCGCCCCTCAACTCCCAACGAGTGTCATCTGCTAGGAGGAATTCAACCCAGTCCGAGCGCTTCTGGTTAAAGAGCGCGTGGAAACGCGCGTCACCTCGGGACCGACCCGCCCCGTCAGGATGCGCCCCCCCCCTTCCCCCTCCAAGGTGAGATTCCACCCCCCCTAGATAATTGGAAGGGAAAAACAAACAACAAAAACAAACTGCTCGACCGGCAGTAAAACCTCGAGTAGCTCGCCAAGGCTGGATGCGTAGACTGCCAGCGACTCGCACGCCTTCGGTACTTGGACACCCATGATAGCCGAGTTCCCTTTGCCCCCCCTCCCCCCCACGCACACGCGCACGCACGCGCGTGACACTCGTTAGCATCATGCCTTCCTGAATCACATGGTGCTGAATGGTATGAAGCTGCTGTGAAAGATCAGCAGCGATGAAAGTGACAAGCCCCCCCAGCCCTGGTGGAGTCCTGAAACATACTGCAACCTACATTCGCATGTCGAAATTCTTGTCGAATGCAGTTGGCGTCGGCCATAGTCCCGTGAGTCTCCTGAACGCAAACAATTTTGCGGCGCTTACAGAGCCCGAGGAATTCCTCGCATCTAATCGAGGCATTCATCTGACGATGGGCCCGCGCCGAGCCGAAGAGACCACGCGCATACCAGGAAACGATACCAAGCGAGGAGGCGGGGAGAAAAGGCTGCTGGTGCACTGCATGCTGGCCACAGGGTCAGCCGGGAACAGTCAGAGGCGGCAGCGGCTGCGAAAAATGGGGATCGTCTGGCTGGCTAGCCAGATCGTGAACAGAGCCAGACGAGCAGAAAGAAGAGGCGCTCAACGTGGACGAGGAGCAGGGAGAAGATGAGCATGTGATCTGCGAATTCGTGTTTCTGGCAATGTCCGCTGTCGCCCCCGCGCAGCGTGCCACCGAAGAAGCTTGCGTCGGAGACCATCCGCGTGCACTGCCACATCCGTCAACCCACTGCTGCATCTGGTCCACGGGAATGCCCCAGAAGGCGAGGTCGCTAGTGTTGGGCTCGAGCACCAGCCTGCCGAGCCCGTCCTGTTTTCCTCTTGCCAATATGAATAAGTCATCGGATGTGCGGATGAAGAACTCGTTGCGGATACCGTTTGCGCCGATATTGTAGACGGCTTGGTACTTGTTGTTATTCTTCAAGAACTGAACGATCGGCGCCCATAAATGTGACATGCGTCTCAATCGGTGACGGACGTCGTCTGGGAGGTCGGTGCGAATGCGTAGAGCATGGCATGATCCGCCTCGAGCATCCTTCCATTGAAGCTGCTGCTGGATGAACCATTATTTGCATGTCTTTGCCGCGCCCTCACTCTTGAAGTGGATGGAGAAACTTTGACTCGTTTTTGCAAACTGCGCTGTGGTGCCGTCCATGAGGTGGCTCGGTGCTCCTTGCTGGAGCTGCTGCCAGGTCGTCTGTCTCATGGATTCCACTCACCCACATTCTACGTGAATCGCTGGTGTCTGTCCCAGCTGTCATACCCACTCTAGCCCGCTTCGTCCTGTCTGTGCCAAGCGTGCTGGAGGCTGTCAAAGATGCTGTCTTCATAAGTTCTTCTGAAGCCTGGATACGTATCTCCATCTGCTGTACTTCGATGTCGAGTGCAGCCATCCGTCCGTCCAGTTGTTTGATCTGGCCCGTCAGCTGGCTGTTCGTGTCGGTGACCGTCTTCGTCAATGCAGCGAACTGTCCTGTGACGGAGGCCGAAAACCACTCGGGCGCGGCATCTCCCATGGCTGCGCGGGTGACTCTGAACTCCCAACTTGCGAAAGTGAGACTGGATGAGGTTGTGCCAAAAGGGCCTGCCCCCAAGCCCTTGTGTCGAGGGCCGAGCCTGAAGACAGGCCCGAACTAACCTGGCCAGCTGCCTCGATATATGGCCACTTGAGTTAAAATGGCTTGAGCCAAAATGGCTACGGGACACATTCGCAGGAGCTTTGCTTACGGTTTGACGGCCGTTTCTTTTCAACATGTGGCTCTCGCACTAAGGCCGCGCACAATGATGGAGGGTGTATTCCAACATCGTTGACGAGTCTTGGCTTTCCACTGGTCCTCCTGTTCCTCCTCCTCCTCGGCCTCCCTTCACCTCCGTGCCTCATCCTTATAAAGAATTAGATTCTCGATCGCACCCGCGTCCAATCGGAAGGGCGGGCTGGGCGTTTCGCCTGGGATTTCCTTGCCACTTATGATCCGGAGGCTTATAATTGACACCAGTTTAAACAGATGGAGGGTGGGCGGTTTTCAATATGTGGCTCTCGCCATGACGCCGCACACACTCGTCGTAGATACTTGCAAGAGCTTCGCGGCTTGATGGCGGGCCGTTTAGAACATGCGGCTCTCACCTTACCGCCGCCGACACGATCCATCAAGCATTCGCAAAAACTTCACGGATGGAGGGCGGGTGGATTTGAACATGTGGCTCTCACCGTAGCGCCGCGCACACTCGATTTAAACATTTGCAAGAGATGCGCGGATCCCCATGGTCAGCGTACCAGAAGTGGTGTTTCTGAACGATACAGGATCGTCAATATGCAGCAGTCAAATTGATTCGTGGCGCTGGAGTTCTGGGGGTGGTGTTTTGGCACGCTTCTGGATCTTCAAACTGTTATCTCCCAGCGGCGCACTTCCCTCAGTGGAAATCAGACCTCGTAGGGGTCTATGGAGAGCTTGGGAGGAGGGATTAATCCAACATCTTTGATAAATTTTGGCTTTACAGTGGTCCTGGTCCTCGTGCTCTTCCTCCTCCACCTCTTCCTCCCTCTCTTTCCTCTTTTTCCTCCTCGTCCTCCTTCTCCTCCTCTTCCGCCTCCTCCTCGTCCTCCTCCTCCTCCTCCGCCTCCTCCTCATCATCATCATCATCTCTCCTCCCCCTCCTTTTCCTCCTCCTCCTCCTCTTCCTCCTCCTCTTCGTCCCCCTCCCCCTCCCCCTCCTCCTCCTCCTCCTCCTCCTCTTTCCTCCTCCTCCTCCTCCTCCTTTTACTTATCCTCCTCCTCCTCCTCCTCCTCCTCCTCCTCTTCCTCCTTCTGCTATTCCTCTCTCGCACCGTTCCACTGTGTCCAATGGCCGGCGCGCGCGGCCGCGCGGTCCGCACCTTGCCGTCGGAGCCGCTTCCGGAGGGGGGGGGGAAAGAGGGAGGCACACCATGCACTGATCATAGAAGGTCAACGAGGGAGGGAGGTGAGGTAGAGGGTGAGTCCCGGCCAGACCCTACCGTTTCCCAGGTTCTTCACGATGGATACAGTCAGCCCGTATCATGATGATGAACGACAAGGATGCAAAGGCTTTGGACGCCCACTTCGGAGTTTATCGAGCGTGGCGCGGCCAACGAAATTGGACAAGGATGGGCCGAGGAGGCAAGGAAGCAAGAGTACCTTTGGGAAGGTTTTTCATCGTTGCTATGCGGGTCGGCTGTGCAACCTACACTTATCATGGATGGTGAAAGAAGGAGCGACTTGAGGTAGAGACTGAGCCCCGATCAAACCCTACCGTTGCCCAGGCTCTTCACGATGGATAAGGGGTTGGCTCCGGTGGGAGCTGCGGGCCATGCCGACCAGCCTTGCCCTGAGCGGCTCTGGCGCCCAAGGTGGCCGTGGTATCATCGCGTTCTCGCGGCAGCCTGTCCGTAGAATGTTCGAACGTGCCCCCATCAACGAACGCGTCGAACAAAACATGTGGACACCAAGATGGGGATCCGACGCGGTCACGTAGTAAGCAGCTGTCTCTTGGAATTTCGCGGCCATCCAACGTTTGGACCAAAAGCCGATGCGCTCCGCATTGGCCTCCTGTAGCGCTGTGTGTCGAGGGTAACCTCGATATGCCCTTAGACCCCCAGCCCAATAGTGGAATACACTTACGTTTCGACGCTGTTATGGACGGACTGGGGCCACACCAATAAATAAAACATATACTTATCCGCGGCACCCGCCGCGCGACAACGACGACGACGACAATGAGACGAGGAGGAGCAGGAGGACGAGGAGGAGGATGTGCAGAAGGAGGAGGAGAAGGAACAGGAGGAGTAGGTGAGGAGGAGGAGGAGGAGGAGAAGGAGGAGGAGGAGCAAGGACGGAAATCATTCCTTGCCGAGGGGAGGGGCGCAACACTAACGACCTCCGTCGGTTACCCGTTCCGGATCGGAATGCCCAGCGCCCTGAGGCGCCGTCCGTCGCGCCCGAGGTACCCACGAGGCCGTTATGGCACTCGTCCGCCTTGAAGCCGATGATCCGGACTGCCATCTCCTGCTAGAGCTGACGATACATATCGTCACGGCGCGCAGCTGGTGGCCCTCGTAGACATCGCAGCTCCCTGGTACCGGTGGCCCTGGCAGCTCAGATGCGGCCCCCATAGTTCAGCAGGTCCCCGTGGTAGTTGACCTGGTGGTCCTCGTAACCCTGCTCGTGGTTCTCGTAGCTCAACTCGTGGCCCTCGCAGCTCAGACCGTTGCCCTCGTAGTTCTTCCAGTGGCTCTCGTTGCTCAGCCTGCGGCCCTCGTAGCTTCGCAGGTAGTTATCGTAGCTCTGTTTCTGGCCGTCGTAGCGCAGCTTGCGGCCCTCGTACAACAGTTATGAGCCCAGGTTGTGGCCTTCGGATAACTGCAGGTGGTCCTCGTAGTTCAGCAGGTGGCCCTCGTAGCTTAGCTCGTGGTTCTCGTTGCTCTGATTGTGGCCCTCGGAGCTCAGCTTGTTGAGCTCAGCTCGTTGCCCCCATAGTTCAGCAGGGTGCTCTGGCGGTGGGTCTCTCAGCTCAGCAGCTGCTCCTGGTAGATCAGCCTGCAGTGGCCCTCGTAGCCCTGGGCGTGGCTCTTGGAACTCTGCCTGTTGCCGTCGTAGTTCGGCTTGTGTCCCTCAGAGCTCCGCTGGGGGCTCTGGTAGCTCAGCTCAGGTAGTGGCCGTCGGAGCTCTGCTTGCTGAGGCTCAGGTTGTGGCCCTCGTGCATCAAAACGTCGTCCTCGTAGATCCGCAAGTGGCCCTCGCTGCCCTGGCTGCGAATCGTGGTCGTAGTTGCGGTCGTCGACCACTTACTGGTGGTCGCTATGGCGTACTAATAATGCTGGTGGAAACCGCCGACGCCGTAGAGGTTGTCGCAGTGGTCTGACTGTTGGTCGCGCTGGTGGTAGCACCTGTCGAAGTGGTCCCGTTCTTGGACCTCGACGACAACGTATTTGCACTCCGTCAGGCGTTGCTGGAAACATGGCCGTCGGCTGCTGGGTTCCTGAGCGTAGGGCTGCACGTCAGCTCCGTTCGCCGTCACGTGATCGTCCTCCGCCGCGTCCGAGGCTGCTAACACCGCCCTCGCCAGCAACGCGACGTCTTTGCAGTGGACCTTCTGCTTTTTCCTGGCCGCGCATGCCAAGTGGTTCAGGGCCGCATCGGGCGGACTCGTCGGCATGTGTGCCCCTGGTCTGCGTCTCGTCCACGCCCTCGGGCCCGCGTGGCGCTCGCCGCATCTCATGCGGTTCATGGCCAGCGGCCAATGGGCAAAGCCGACCCCCTGGGGGCGCGCGCGCGCGAAGCCAGGCACGGCGCCAAGGGGCGACTGCGGGGGATGCATCCCGCCTATGATCTTGAGCCACAATGGCTACGGAGCCTCCTCCACGTCCTCCTCAACCTCCTCCTCCTCCTCCTCTTCCATTCCTGTCCCTTATGAATAACTTCTCCATGTCGCATCCCGAAGCCACTCGGGAGACCAGGCCGGGCGTTTCGCCTGAGACCCCTTCACCACTAATGTTCCTGAAGCTTCAAGCTTGCAGCATTCTCACGGATGGAAGGCGGGTCGTTTGCAAAATGTGGCTGTCGCTATAGTGCCGCCCAAATCCGTGTTAAACACTTGCATGATCTTCGCGGATTGAGGACAGGTAATTTTCGAAATGTGGCTCTCGCCGCAACGCCGCGCACATCCATGTCAAACACACACCAGCTTTTCGCGACTCGAGGACCGGCCGTTCTCAACATGTGACCTGAACTTTGGCGCCTTGCACAGGAGTCGTAACAATCTACAATAGTTTCACAGAGGGAGTTTCTTTTGAGCCCAACGCCCGCACAGCCTTGGGGAGCACAGCAGCGGCGGCTGGGAAACCGCTGCTGGCAGCGAAGGATACCTCACTGGCCGAAAGAGTACCTCCAGCAGCCCCATGGGCTAGGAGGCACTGGCCACACGACGGGCGACCGCCCCGTGGCCAGCCGCGCACAGTCGTCATAACAGCTGCAAGAGCTCCGCGGATGGAGGCCTGCTCCTGCTCAAAATGCGGTTCTCGCCTTCGCGCCGCGCGCGATCGCCTTACGAATTCTCAGCTGTTCCAAAGATCCTCGCCGTGAGCGTCCCAGAACTGGTGCTTTGGCACGATGTCGGACTCACAAGGCGCAGCTGTTACGCTTAGTCGTGGATTTGAAGTCGCAGTAGTGGTGGTCTGACACAGTTCCGGATTTTCAAGCGGTTGTTTTCCAACGGGGTACTTCCTTCAGTGACAGTAAATCCATGCAGGGTCCTATGAAGAGGGAGCTTTGAGAGAGGGTTTACTGTAATATCGTTGATGGGTCTTGGGTTTGCACTGGTCCTTCTCCTCCTCCTCCTTCTCCTCCCCCTCCTCCTCTTCCTCGTCCTCCTCCTCCTCCTCCGCCCTCCTCCTCCCTCCTCTCTCCCCGCAACTCCGCACCCCCCGCACCTCAGTGCGCGGACCCCCCTCAAGTCTGGGCCCCCTCCCTAGAGACGGGCGCAGGCTCTTCGTTCCGAGGCGCTCTCTGACGCCCCTTGGGGCCCACCAGGGCCCCCGGCTGCCGAAGACGGCCGCAAGTCAACCGGAGTCAACCGTCGCTCTTCTGTCGCAGCGCGCTCGAGCAGGCGGGGCCACTGTCGTACCGCAGGCACATATACTATAAGGGAGGGAAGACGAGGCGACGAGCCCTTCTCTCACAGATGGAGGAGCCCTTCACAGAGGGGCCTCTGCACACATCACGGAGGAGGAGGAGGAGGAGGAGGAGGAGGGGCCAAATTGTCACCTTATCTCGGCTTCTGGATTGCGAGAGAAATCTATAGGCGCACATCCCTCGTCGACCCCATCGGCGCCCTGGGGCTCTGCGGGCTCACTGGGAGATGGAAGGACTTTTCGCGGGGGCACCCGTTGGCAGGCCGCTCTGTTTCTTGCTCTGTACTCGCTTCTTTCTCCTCCCTCAAATCACCACCTCCCCCTCCTCCTTCCTCCTCCCTCCCTCCCTGCATCCTCCTCCTCCTCCCTCCTCCCTCCTCCTCCTCCTCCTCCTCCTCCTCCTCCTCCTCCTCCTCCTCCTCCTCCTCCTTCTGCTCCTGCTCCTCCTCCTTACTCCTCCTCCTCCTCCTCCTCCTCCTCCTCCTCCTCCTCCTCCTCCTCCTCCTCCTCCTCCTCCTGCTCCTCTGCTCCTCCTGCTCCTCTGCTCCTTCTCCTCCTCCTCCTCCTCCTCCTCCTGTCGAAGCTCGAAGCCCCCAGGGGCTGGCCCCGCCCCGGGGCCTTGCGCTCGCCGCTCGCGACCTCGTCCGCGATCCTCTGCAGCTCGGGGGGCACGGGCTGCCCCGCCTGCTGCAGCACCTCCCGGGCGCCCCGGGCCCTCCCCAGACCCCCTCGCGTTGCGAGGAGGAGGAGGAGGAGGGAGGAGGAGGAGGAGGAGGAGGAGGAGGAGGAGGAGGAGGAGGAGGGAGGAGGAGGAGGAGGGAGGAGGAGGAGGAGGAGGAGGAGGAGGAGAGGAGGAGGAGGAGGAGGAGGAGGAGGAGGAGAGAGGAGGAGGAGAGGAAGGAGGAGGAGGGGGGGGGGGGCGGGCGAACCCAGACATGATCGCGTCGTACAAAATCAGGACGGCAGGTCTTCGGGCGTGTTCGGCCTCGTGGGGCCCTCGCCGGGCCCTGGGACCGTCAAAAAACGACCCAGGATGAAAAACCCGTCGCGGGGAAAGGTTCGGGACTTCCGGGGACGCCGTCCTGAAAAAATCAGGACGTCGCATGTCTGGGGATTGGAGGTTTCTCGCGAGTTTCGGCCTAGAAGACAAGCCGTCGTAACCAAATCAAGCGCCCAAAGTATCGTAATTCACCATGGTCTGTGGCGTGCCCGTGCGTGACCAAATCGTCCCCTTGTTGGACCGACTTTGTAGGAGAGGGGTGCGTTGTTTCGATTTCGTTGCGCGGAATTTGATTACGGTTGCGCGATGTTCGGCCTCCCGGGGCCCTCACCGGGCCCCCGGACCGTCCAGGAACGACGTTCAGGAGGAAAAGCTGGTCGGGGGGAAGGTGTCCAGACCTCGAGGGGTCGACGCTGCGAAGACAATCACGACGTCGGGGGCCTGTGTCCGCAGAGCCGGGGGCGATCTGGGCGGACAGGGCGAGACCCAGAGAGATCCTGGCGTCTCGACTTTCACAACCGGGCGCTTTCGCCCTGATTCGGTGAGATTGTTTGCGATCGGATCTCAGGGAAAATCGCGACCAGAGCTTTCTGCGTGATGTTTCGAGCTGGATCGATCTGTGCGGGTCCCACGGGCCGAAAACAAGGGCGAAAACGCCTGGTTGTGAAACAATTGCAACGCCAGGATCTCAGGGGAAGCAAGTAAGAATTGTGTGCGCAGCTGTTCTACTCTTTCGAAGGGCGAGGGGGGGCATCCAACACCGCCAAGCCCGCGGAGAGAGGAGCAAAAACGGCATCCACATAATTTCGAGGAGGACGCGCGGATTTCTTGGATCGGAGCTGGACCCCCAGCCCTGGCGCGCGGAGCGCGCCAGGGGCGGCTCAGGAGGCGCCGCCAGGGGGACCCAGTGTGGATCTAACAAATCCGCGCGAAGCTCCGAAAGTTCACGCTCCCCTGAGATCCGCCGATGCAAAAAAAAATACAACATCGCGAAAAACCACGATTAGAGCCCCGGACCCCATCGTTCTGCATCATTTTCCGAGCCGGATCGATCTGTGAGGGTCCCGGAGCCCGAAATTGAGCGAAAACGCCTGTTGTGAAAAAATTGCAACGCCAGGATCTTAGGGTTCTGTAATTGCTTGTTCTTCGACTCGTTGCGCACAGAATTGCCACGAGAACGTGGTGGTCATTTCCTGGAGACGGCGCTGGAGGCGCTGGCAGGCGGGCCAAACGCCGATCCAAGAAGTCCGCGGACCTTAGAGACATCATGTGAATGCCGTATTCCGAGATCCAGGCGTTGCATCTTCTTCACAGCCGGCATTTTCGCTCAATTTCGGGCCCTAGGGCCCTCACGGATCGATCGGGCTCGAAAGGAGCGCAGCAAGATGGGGTCCCGGGCTCCGGCCGTGATTTTTTGCGATGTTGCATTTGCGCTGTTGCATTTGCGCTGTTGCATTTGCGCTGTTGTTGTTGTTGTTGTTGTTGTTGTTGCAACAGCGGGTCTCAAGGATCTGCGCTTCGACCCGAACCCAGACTCCCGACAGCATGATTTCTTCATAACGTCGACGTTCGGAGGTCTCGACCCATTCCCCTGGACCGGCTTTTCGTCCCGAAGCGTTTCCTGACGGTCCCGAGGCCCGGGAAGGGGCCCCCGGAGGCCGAACCCAGCGGAAAACCTCCCGTCGCGATTGTCCCACGACGCGAGTTTATATATATATATATATATGTTTGAATTATGTTTGTTTGTAATTTTATTCTTCGTTGTACATACATGAGTATTATTTATCTTTGGGATATAATAATACTTATACTTATTACCATTATTATGAGTAGTATTAGTATTAGTAGTATTACTAATACCATTATTATTAGTGGTGGTATTATTATTAGTAGTAGTACTATTATTATTAGTATTAGTAGTAGTAGTAGTAGTAGTAGTAGTAGTAGTAGTAGTAGTAGTAGTAGTAGTAGTAGTAGTAGTAGTAGTAGTAGTAGTCGTAGTAGTAGTAGTAGTAGTAGTAGTAGTAGTAGTAGTAGTCGTAGTAGTAGTAGTAAGTAGTAGTAGTAGTAGTAGTAGTAGTAGTAGTAGTAGTAGTAGTAGTAGTAGTAGTAGTAGTAGTAGTAGTAGTAGTACTAGTATTAGTATTATTATTGTTATTATTACGATCACAAGTATTACTATTATTGTTACTACTCTGCGCTTCAACGCGAACCGACGCTTCGACGAGCATCGGCGACCCCGAGGGATATGGACTGCGCGGGGTGCGGTCTGCAGCGCCCGCGCCCCGTTGGGGCAGGCGAGGGCCTCGGCAGAGGTGCGGCCCGCCGCGGCCCCGGGGAGGCCCGACGGGGGCAGCGCGGTGCCCCCCCGGAAGCCCCAGCGGTGGGTCGGGCACGTCCTTCTACATCGGGGGCGCGCAGGCCCAGAGATCCAAAGCATTGACAAAAATCATGACGGAGGTTTTTGCAATGTTCGGCCTCTCGGGGCCCTGACCGGGCCTCGGGACCGTCAAAAAACGACTCAGGACGAAAATCCGGTGCTGGGGAATGGGTCGAGACTTCCGGGGATCCCGTATTGAAAAAATCACGACGTCGGATCTCTGGGAAAATGGATTTGCGATCCATGGATGTGGCGCGCGGTCGCCAAATCCATGGATCGGGGGAGGTGCCCTCCGCAAAAATGCGGCCGGTGCCGCCTCGCTCGGCGGCGGAAATCCGCGATTTCCCGTGGCCCATGGACACCGGACCCGTCACTAATCCACGCCCCCTTGATCCATGTTTGCGATCGCCTGACTACAGTGGAAGCCAGTCTTAGGTCGGGCATGCCCCCCTGTAGGCAGGTTCTGGGCGAAAATTCAAAAATGGTCCAGCAGATGCCAAAAATGCTCAACAATAGTCAACAATCGTCCTCAGATTTCTTTCTTTAAAGTAATTTTGGAATATTCCCCCTGTAGAGGGACATGCCCGACTTAACCCAAGCCCCAACGGTAGGTCGGGCGCCCAGGACGTCCTCGGATTCTTGGTGTGGGGGCGTCACGCCTTCCACAGCAAAACCATCGAACCCCAAGAAACCCAGGGCACCCTGGAGGCAAGCAGGGTGTTTCTTGGCATGGGCCTCCATTGTACAGGCGGATTTGGGAAGAGAATTGAACATAGTCGCAACATAAACAACATGATCAAGAGAGCACGAAGAATCGTCCCCAGACTGTTTCTGGACTATGTTTGAAGATTCCTCCTGTACAGAGGGACATGCCCGACTTAGCCCCAACGGCGCCGATCGCGAACCACACCCCAGCGCCACCGAGCCCTTTTGTCCGGCGGTGAGCCCAGGGGGGCGGGTGAGAAGGGGCGAGCCTTCTCAGAAGACTCAGAAGCCCCCCGGCCGTCCGAGGAGCTTCCTGAGCCTTCCCCGAAGGCACGAGAACTTCTCTGGAGGCGCGAGGGCTTCTGAGAAGACCCGCCGCCTTCTGAGAAGGCCCTCTTTTCCTCATTTCCCCCCCCTCGCTCGCCGCCGGCTGGAGAAACCAGAAGGTACTGATATCGCTACTCCCTGGACCTCTCTGACCAGGGCTTCGAGGCGAATCCAGCGGTGGCGACGAGGGCATCCCAGGAGGCCCTAAAAGGCGACAGCGAGAGAAGGGTAGGGTCAATTCTCCTCCTCCCCCTCTCCCTCCCCCCCCCCTCCCTCGCCGCCGACTTGTAGCCGCCGACGGGAGCGCGGCCCGAGGCCAGGCCTCGGTGCTGGCCGCCGCTCCTGGAAAAGGGGCCACGCCCGCCGAGAGGCCCTGCGCCCTGGGGGCGTGCCTGCAGAGGCCTCCTGGATGGGGTCGGAGCAGATGGGGTCGGAGGATCGCGCTGCATCGCCGATGCATCGGCGATACATCGTCGATGCATCGCCGATGCATCGGCGACGTCGGCGATGCTTCGGCGCCATCGGCGTGGGGAAAGTCGGGCTCTACATCGAGACGCAATCGGCAATGCATCGGCAATGCGGCGCGATCCTCCGACCCCATCTGCTCGGACCCCGCCTGGGAGGCTTAGAGCCTGGGGGGGCTCGGCGTGGTGCGCGGGTGCGCTGCCTCCCCCACGGAGCGCGCCTCGAGCCTGCATCGAGCGCGCCTCGACCCCCAAAAAACACCGACCTGGGCGCGGCTCCGTGCCCGGAGCTCCGACGCTCTGCCAAAGACTGGAGCGGCAGGTTTTTGGGCCGCTTTCGGCCTCCGAGGGCCCTCGCCGGGCCTCGGGACCGTCCAAAAACGATCCGGGAGGGAAACCGGCCCTGCGGAAGTGGTCCAGATCTCCAGGGCCCGCGCACCGAAAAAATAGGAGCGGTCAGATGTCTGGGTGGGGGGGGGATCCATGGGGGGGCGAAACAAGGCGTGCCTCCTCCTCCTCCTCCTCCTCCTCCTCCTCCTCCTCCTCCTCCTCCTCCTCCTCCTCCTCCTCCTCCTCCTCCTCCTCCTCCTCCTCCTCCTCCTCCTCCCCTCCCCCTCCTCCTCGCCCTCCCCCTCCCCCTCCTCGTCCTCGTGTGCAACTGGCGGTTTTCCCTCGACTTCCGCCCTCGGGGGCCGCTCTGGGGCCCCAGGGCCATCAGCCGTGGATCGGGGACGACAGGCCAGCCCTGGGGAAGCGGTCGGGACCTCGTGGGGCTGCGGATGGGAAGCAGGAACAGGAACAGGCTATCCCACGTGGTGGC